TCAGGGCACAAGATGAGATGAAGGTTCAAGTGCTAAAGGTCGAGAATTCTTTGGAATAACAGACATGAACTTTGAGACCTTGTCAGCTAATCTTATGGGTAATATTGCAAATAAAGTGGCAAGAATATCAGCTCCCTGGCCACATGGATAGCGTTCCCGGGGGTTTTTTGATAACAGGCTGTTACAGACAGCAGACACCACTGGAGAAAGATCTGATGGAACCCGTGGAATGAGTTCTTTGTATGAACTATAGAGGTCTTCAAGATACTGTCTGCCATAGACAATTTGGCATTCCTCATCCAAGGAGTCCCAGATTTCTTGCAGCCGAGCTTCTAACACTTGTTCATTAAAAGCATCTGAAAATAATATTAAATAAATTAAATCAGTTTTGAAATAGACAAGAAAATTTGTGTTTAGGAGTCAGAAAATTCTTTGGGAAGTTGGTCAATTTGGCAATGCTTTTGGGTGAAAATGATTTTTTTGTGCATGAAAAAACACAAAGTAAAACCATATGAATAAATAGGAAACGTTTATAAATTCAAAATGTGTATTTTTTATTGAAGCTTCATCAGAAATTTTTTAGAAATGAATAATGGAAGAGAAAATTCCATTACTTTTAGTTCTGTGTTTGTTTTTGTCTTGTAGCGTTAATGTATCTGCCTACATTTGGATTCTAGCGGGCATTTTTGCCGGTAGTGTGTATGTGTGTGAGAGAATAATTCCTGAAGAGAGTAGTGAGATTATTATATATATATATATATGTGTGTGTGTGTGTGTGTGTGTGTGTGTGTGTGTGTGTCTTGAACAATAAAAAAAATGTTAAAAAGATTAAAATTTCAGATACACTTGGCTGTGTATTAATATTTTTGTCTAATTATTTAAATTGAGTTCCTTGACTAGTTTCGGCCAGCATGGCCATCATCGGTGGAAAAAAAAAATCCTACTTGTTAGTAGCAATGAACTACAGGGGTGAATGACTGTCGCTGAAGAAAGTGAACTTTGCCTGTAGTTTTCATTTGTTTCGTTTTTTTGTTTTTTTATCATTAATTTTTGGTCAGTCCTTGTATTGGTCAAAAGGCGTCTTTTAAGTTCTTTTAAGGAGAAGCTGGGAGATTCATAAGTCTCATGTTTACCTCCTTAGTCATTCTGACTGCTTTATTGGTTGCTGGGAAGGGGATGTGTGTTTTAGTTTTTTTTGGGGGGGGTATGTGTGTATTTGTATATATCTGTGAGTATGTGTATGTAGGAGACCTCAATACCTCTGCAAGCATCTCTGTCTAGCAAGATTGAGAAATATGAGTGAAGGATTGATCTATGGGATTATATATTAATTCTATCTCTGTTATTAAGTCTGTTTGGACAAAGTATTTTGAGGCACAACATCCATTTGTCTTCATGTCCTTCTAATATTTTCCTAACCTTATCTTTTGTGCCTATTTCTATTCTTTCAATAGTGAATTTCTTTGCATGGCTATTAAAATCATGTTTTTCTAGGAGGAAATGTTGGTCAACAAGTAATAATCTTTCCTGGGAAGCCAACTTAATCCGATTTTGATAATTCTGTAGTGACAGAGCCATTCAGATTTTCCCATATATTGTTTCTGGCATAATGTGCATTCTAATAAGTAAATTACGTCATGACTTTTACAGTTAGAGTTTAAGGTGAATTTTAAAAGTAGTGTTATATATATATATATATATATATATATATATATATATATATATATATATATATATTTTAAAATAAAAGAACAAATAAGAAATGTATATCAACCTAATGTTGTTTCACTTTTATTAAAGCTTCATCAGAGATTGAGAGAAAACAATCTTTCTTTCAAACTCTGATGAAGCTTTAATAAAAGCAAACATGTTAGGTTAATATGTTTCCTATTTGTTATTTTATCATCCTGTCAGATTCCAATCTGCATTTGATCTTTAACTCACACACACATTTATTATATACATATATAAAGATATATATATATATATATATATATTATATAAAATACCAAATTGTAATTGGTTGTGATTATTCCAAAGAGGACTTTTAGTCCATATGAGAGCTCAATGTATGATGCAGAGCAAATTATGAGAATAATTAGGAAAAAGCTTTAAAAATCCATTATCAGTAATAAATTTATTTTGATTCATCTCATCGGACTGACTACATTTTATGAAAAATTAAAAATTATAAAATGTAGTTGGTTTGATGAGATGAATAGTCTTATATTCATTGAAATAAATTTATTACTATAGATTTTTAAGGTCTTTCCTAATTATCCTTACTGATGATTGCAAAAGCATGAAGCCCAGGGCCACAAACTCATAATCCTACAACTATATATATTAGCAGGAAGCACGGTGGAGTAATGGATAGCGGCTTGGATTGAGGAATCGCAGAGCTGAGTTTGAACTCCAGTCGAATCTATTACATTCACTTATGTGATAATACCCTTGGGAAAGATATTAATCCTTTTTCTTCTCCCCGCAGCTATGGGTAAATAGCAGGACAGACTGGGTTCTATAGCTTTGGATGGCAACTGGTTTAGTAGAAGGAAAACTTTGGATTCAAAACCTGCGGAGTTGTCATTTGGGAACCTTGTGGCACGTAATACACCAGGTCTCTGTATTCAGCCCTTCAAAAAGTGTGGTTGGTTCTGCACAAAACCTTCATCACTATAATCAAATCATATGTGCTGGTGTCGGGCTGTCGGTTCCTAGGAACTGAGCTGCTTGACACTCATACATCAAATACAACGGGAGAGTCCACCATATATATATATATATATATATATATATATATATATATATATATATATATATATATATATATATATAATTTATACTGCTGTAGTTTATTGTCGTACCCAGGATTAGACACTGCTTTTTGAAAATTGGCCAATTCCAGACACTTTACTGCTTTAATTGGTTCAATTAGGAATAGTACTGGTCTGAATTGAACGCCTGATTTTGCAGAAAGAGCTTGTAATAAATACACAATGCCCTTTCAATCCGACCAAATACACAACATCGCTTTCTTCAGATGATGACTGTTATTTTGTCCCCACCCAACAAGGAAAAAATTTTCATGCCACATTGTTGTAAGCATTTACACTATTTACATCATTTGGCCTGTTGTCCTCATCTTTATTGCCACATTCATGTTTCAGCCATTGTATACTCCAGCCTTCTTCAGTCCATGAGGGTAGATTGTTCTAATTCCACGTACCATGCCTTCTCTGGATATCTTGGTTTTCAGTTAATTCCCTTTAGTAACGAAACTCTCCAAGTTTTTTTTTTTCACGTCTCCTACTGAACTCACAACTCTTTGGATCAAGTCACATTTGAATTACTTCAACCAACATTTTTATCCACTGAGCCATATGTCATTGGGGACATCAGTGAGTGAAATTTATAACAATCTATTTCCATGAAGTAAATAAAGGGTACAGTTGAAAATTCCACCTGAAGAAGGCCAATACCTACAACGGTTGAATCATTGTGAATATGGCAACAGTCTAAATTATGTCAATAGTGTAAATAGTTACAATACCTCATCTCAGAAATATAGACAGATATTGCTGTAAACAATCCACTTTTCATTGGCTGTGATTGATCTTTTCAAAAATGGGTAGTTTTCATTGTGTTTGAGCAAAGAATCAAAGAGAGAAATTGGAACTCAGCTCTCCAATTTCCAATTCCAAGCCGTTATCCATTACACCACCCACACATTCAAGCTTACAGCACTTGGTATTTCCAAATGGTAACCAATCTAGGTACTGACCAGGCTTGACATTGCTTAACTTCAGTGATCATATGAGATGATTAGTAGTTTTAGAACCATTGATATAATTGGTGGTTATCAATAACATTTCAAACAAAAGCAGGAATATTTACTTACAAGGAATTTATTCCCCTTGGGGTGGAGAAAAAATGCTATTAAATCTATAAGAAACAAATGCTATCTTTTAGGATTTAAATTAAGAAAAATAAAGATTTTGATTAGAAAAAGGAGAAATTTTATGCAACTAGAAATTTTTTTTATTTTATTTTTCAACGAAGAAAAAAAAATACAGAATGAATCAAAGCAAAATTCTGCTCCAATAATAAATATCTATGTTGATTCCTATCTGCTTGGGAATGGGTATTTATCCAAATTAAAACCCCCAACACTGGGACAGGGTGCAACACAATGTCACTTATTTAACATGGGGAACTCAAATGTGTATACTCAGGTCATCGGTAAAAATTTGTCTAGCTGCTGCTTACACAGGATCGGGCACAAATCTTGTCTTAGCTGGTCATGGCCGCACAACAGATACTACACTTTGATCCTAGCATCTGGGCCGTGGTGGGAATGAGTAGAAAATAATTCATTCTCCTTAACTTATAGGCAAAGACCACACAAATGCATGCTGGGATTTCTTCTTAATCAATAAGATAAGCCACTTCACAGTCTCATCCAACTCAGTCCTGGCCTGTCTTATCTTGAAGCCAGAACACTATATTCACTTATTTATTTATTTCCACTCTTGTATGTTAATACCATTCTTAATTTGTGAACTCTTTTTGCCTTATTACTGTTAATTTGCCCTGCATATATTGCTTGCTTGCTTAATATTATTTTTTGCCCTCTTTTCTTGCAAACTTTGTCAATTCTGTATCTGTCTATATTTCTGAGACACCTGGCACAGTGGATAAAGGCATTAGTTAGATCCAGTGACAGGACCCAAAGAGTCTGAGTTCAAAGCAGCGGAGAACTTTCAGAGGGGAATTAACAGAAAATAACTGATATCCATTAGACATGTCACTTGGAACTAGAAGATTCTACCCCAGTGAACAAAATAAAGGGTCAGTTTGACATTCCAACCACCTGAAGAAGGCCGGAGTGCACAACAGCTGAAACATTGTGATAAACATGGCGACAAAGATAAGGACAATAGTCCGAATAATGTAAATAGTGTTTGTCAATTCTGTTTGTTGGGAAGTTCTACCATTTACATTTAATCATGTTCACTTACTCTACAATCTCTCATTCTGAAATGAAAAATTATTATAGTGATTTACTAAGTTTAGATGTGGCAAGACAAGCTTGCTAACCATTACACGACGTTGAAGTGCTTGTTTAAATTTTTATCCTCATTTTGAGTGATCTAGTTACAATACTTGATCATTGTCCCTACAGCTTTCTAAAGGCGATTTGAAATTTCCAATTGTATCCTAGGTATGACGATAAGCTATATCTGCAGCAAGGCCTATCTTTGGTAGGTTTTGAGGAGAATGGAACCACTTCTTAATTGCTGTTATCCCCAGGTCCACCCTGACCCGGGGGTGGTAACTATGGGCAAATAGTGAACCCCCAAACTGGGATCAAAACATAAAAATAAATCAGAAAAAATTACCAGCAATATTTTTTGGGTAAAAAAATTTATCAAAGCTCACAAGAGAATAAAATTCCAGCATTAAATGCTTATTTAGGAGTTGATATGCCATTAAACATACAAATCAAACTTTGAACCGAATCCATTATTCAATGCACAGAAATGGACTACTCTTATTTCTGCTGTCTATACTAAGGGAGATAACTCGTATTACTTAACTAGTTTTTTTAGTTGTTTAATTCTATGGTTCCATCAGTGTGGCACACTCTCCATAGAGGGAGGTGATTGTTAGGGAGGTAATTCGAGAATGAGTTTTTAACAGTGAATTTTTTTTTCTAGTGAGTCTGAACATGTTTGAGAGTTAATACATACAGTGCATATACAGTGTGAATACATAAAAATATGTGTATGTATGTGTAATTATGCATGTACTGTATTATTATTATATATATATATATATATACATATATATATGTGAAAAGTGTATATAAATATAAATAAATATATATATGTATAATTATTTATATATATTTATTGTATTTTCTTGGTAAAGCTCAATATCAGAGAGGAAGAGTTAACATATTTTGGTTAAATAAATTGAGTTTGTGACCCTACTTTTTCACGATTTAGTTTTTATGATCTCTAAAAATTAGATTAAAACCATTTCCCCAACAACGTTCCAACCAATACAACCAAATATATATATATATATGTTTGTATAATGTATATACTTATACAAAGAATTCAGGGGATTCCAATACAAACTCAGTCTAAAACCGGTCCAGTTGAATAAGACTGACAATGTTTTTAAATAATTGCAGTTGAAAAGCTTATCAAGTTAGAATATGAGGAATTTTTGGATTTTATTGTTATTTTGTTTCAATTTATATATATATATATATAAAGAAGATGAAGAAATATAATTTTCAGATGTTCTATATTTATGGGATAAAAAGTTATTTTGCTCAATTTCAGAGACAGAACTACGTAAAAAAAACTGTTTATAAAGTGAACAATATTAATAATTGACGCCTATTTCATTTATACTTAGTTTAGAGGCAACAAGCTGTATCATACTAGATGCAATCATCATAGGCCTGACAACTAATTTTAACTAACAAGCATGAAACAGCCTGTTGATAATAATTCTAAATGATTAAATTTCAATGTTCAGACTTTTTATATAGTAACACAATATTTTTTATAAATATTTATGATCAAAATTTTGTAATTAAATGATAATTCTATTTCATATATGCAGTCTCAAGCTTTTAAGAAAAGTTAACAGCCTTTTAGGCTTCCTCCATGTGAATAGGAGTTCACTTTTTGAATAAGAATTATATGCCACATGGGGGCATCAGGATTTTAGAGATGCTTAGGTGGGGCATGGTCAAAAAAGATTATGAGTTCAATCCCTGGTTCAAGTAGTGAAATCCAACCAACAAGAATCAAAACACAATAAGGAAAAACTTGTATGATTTGTATAAATATTTTTATATTTAAAATACTTTTTCATTCACTGTCTATAATTTAAAATATTTATACAATTAAATTATATGAGATATATAATAAAAACAATAAAAAGCAAGCAAGTCATCCAAAAATCAATATGAGGACAGAATATCCACTTACTTGTTCTGAAACCAACTGGCTCAATTATTGAAACATGGACATCCCATTTTTTCATTTCAAGACGTAAAATATCCGAGAAAGCTAAAATAGCACTTTTAGAGACCGAATAAGCACTGATACCATTCATAGGAACCCGAGCTGTCAAAGAGATGAGGGAGAAATTAGTTTGATCCAGTGTGAAGATTCTAACAAAGACTTCTTCAAATTTACATCCATTCAGACAAACGGACATAACTGTAAATATATTAATAATTTATAATGAATTAATATTCTGAAAGTTGAATTCCCTAGAATTTAAGAAATGCCATTTGCCAAATTTTATTCAGACTATTGAATTTTATTAATATTTTATTATACTTTTGATATTACTGTGTTTTAGATAAAATATTAAAATATTTAATGATGCAATAAGGGAATTCTCACAAGACTTTTACAGTCAAAGAACTTACATGATACGTATTCAATCATTAACTTGAGAATTATGATTCATCAGAAAATTCCAAAGAACAAATCCATGAAATTTTCAAGGGTACTACTAGTAATCAATTATTATATTTACAATGATTAAAGCCTAACGTGAAATCAATTCAGTTATTCCTTGTTGAAAGATTTGGAAATTTGGAATGAAAAGAAAGAAATCTTTTGCATGTCCCCAATGTTTTTTGAGTAGCAAAATCTTTAAGATTTTGCTGCTCAAAAAACATTGGGGACAGCTGATTAAATGGAATTCTTAAACTGCTAACCTACTTAATTTAAGATACAGTAAAATATCCCAACCTAATGAAAAAAAAAAAAAAAAATCCAAAGAATCAGCAATATTATTAGTCCTGATCTGGCAGCTCAGCTTCAATCACTTTCCCACTGCCATAAAGTTGCCTGTCTATGTCTCTTCTATAACTACTTTCATGGTAATTGTTTGGATGAGCTCTTCATTATGGTACCCATACTTTTTGAATTTAAACACAGTACTAGACTGGCATTGAGATCTCATCAATTTAGAGTTGAGCTGGTCTAGATGTAGCTGTAAATTCTATGCTAACAGTTTCTTTTCTCACATCTCTCGCTTGTGGAACTCCCTTCTAGCTCCATGCTTTTCAGACAACTTTAATCTGTAAAAATGTAAATGCAATGTCAATCACTATCTACTGTCCTTCTGATTACTCGTTTCTTTTCTCATTATTAATGTTTCTGTTCCAATTCTTCCACAATCTGTGTTAGTGGTTTTACAGCCTTGTATGCGGTATTTATACAAAAGACAGAGAAGTAACCGTATGGCAGTAAGAAAGTGACTGAAGTCAAGCTGCCAGATTAAGACCAATATTGCTGATTCTTCCTTGGATTTCACGTTGGGATCTTTTAAGTAGCTTAAATAAAAAAAAACAAAGTCCCACTAATGTAACTTCTTGATGTGGTGTCAAGTTTCTTTTATTATAAACTCTAAGAGGGCAGCAAGATATTCAGGTCTGATTTGATTCCCTGATTTGATCAATAGTTTTCAAAATGGAGCCTCTGAGAGGAAATTTAGCAGTAGATCTTTTGTGCTCTCTTTCTTTCTCTATTATCAGTCTTCCTGTTTGTAGCTATTACAGTTCCATGCCAAGGTTTGCACAATATATTAAATATAAGGTCATTCCATGTCAATTCAGCCAGTTTGCACAATATATTAAATATAAGGTCATTCCATGTCAATTCAGCCAGTTTGCACAATATATTAAATATAAGGTCATTCCATGTCAATTCAGCCAATCAAAGTAATCTAAAAAAAAATAGATTTTTTTTCATCTTGATATACGTCGTAGATATTATAATCATTAGAAAATAAAAAGAAAGAGTTGTTAAAACTTAGGGAATGAATTACCCAAATACTATGTAATGATTTCACAATGTTTTGTTACCTATGGACATCGTCACCTTCAGCATAACAAGTCAATATTAGAAGATTATAATAATTGCAAAATTACCATGCATCACAATTTTTGAGAAAAGCTATTAAGACGCCTAGAATTGGTATTAAACTTATTCAGATTTATTCCCCAAATAGTCTAGTTTTCAAATGTTGTACTACCTTTTGCTACTGTTAGAGGATAAAGATGATATTCGCAATTTTTCTGTGGTTGGCCACCTAAAAAATTTCATTTTTTCATCAGAAAACTGCTAATATTCAATTTTTGGTTACTCCCTGTAAAATTCTAAAAGAGTATTTTTGGATTCTTTGACCAAAAATCTATAAGGGTATCAAATTTCATTAATTTCTGACAAGTGGATCAGAATATATAAGGGTTTTAAATGATCACCAAGTTAAAAAATGGAAATATCTGTTGATGGAAAATGCTGATTCAACAAAATTTCAACTTGCAATATCTTGAGAAAAGTAAGGAATTTTCACTTAAAATTTTCAGGATTTTCTAATGACCATAAGATTTCCAACATATATAAAAATGAAAAAAATCAATGTTTTGGAGGTTACATTATTTTGGTTGAATTGACATGGAATGACCCTACATTTTTCTGAGATCTCAGGAAATTCCTACCCCCCCCCCCTTTTAGCATCTGGGCCTTCTCCAAACCTCCAAGGCCGAGGAACACTGTACCCTCTGCATGCATGTATTATAAATCTTGCTCCAGACTGAAAAATATTTGTTATTCTTATAGATTATTTCTTCATCATCAACTTGAAAGGAACTTCTATAGTCCTTAGAAATCCATGTTCCAAAGAAAACAGCTTTGGCAACACCAATCTAAATTAAGTGTAAATAAAAATTTTATTAACCAAAAACCCTTACAATAACTGGCAAGACCCAAGAATAAAATAAAAAGCATTTTACACACCTGCAAAACTGCTCATGTTGATAATTCGACCTTTGGCCCTACGAATAAAGGGCAAAAAGGCTTTTGTTAAGCGAAATGTGCCCAATAAATTCACATTGAGTGTTTTTTGAAAAATTTCTTCAGAGGTCATTTCTGTCTCTGCAAAATATGCCACACCGGCATTGTTGACAAGACCCCACAAACCTGAAAAGACATGAAAAAATAACATAAAAAAAGTCATTGGCAATGTTCAATCTAATTTAAATTACCCAGAAAAAAAAAAAAAAAAAAAAATGTTTAGAATTTTAATAACAAAAATATTACACACTATTTAGTTTTTTTTTTAGATTATCTGCAAGATCAATTTTATAATTACAAAATCAGAAGAATGTGAATATTTGAATTGATTGGTAAATTCCAAAGAACACAATTTGCCAGTATAAGAATTTATTCTAACTTACAAGGTCAGGTCATTTGTTGTATTAGGGGATAATTGTAATCGTTCCTGATCTTGTTCTTTTTGTAATAAGAGAATCCAAGTAGTGATTCTTCTATCTCTTTATATGTTACATTGTCCAAACACTGTTGTCCCTTAGCATGTGACTGGTGGTTGGGTTTTGTAAATATTCTATATTTCTTTTTTGGCTTTTGCTTGCTCAATGCTTTCTGATTCTCTATTTGTTCTGTTGTTTCCTACTGCTGTAAGGATTTCCCCTCAACAGTAAAATTGTTCTTAAACTATTACACTACAAAGAATTATAAGGCACAATCTGCAGCCTTGTGAGGCAACAAATTCCAACACCCTGAAGAAGACTAAGAAAAAGTAAGGTTGTAATTTTCCCTTCTTTACAGCACTGGTGACCTGTCTTGTAAGTCTCTAGTATTTTTTGTTTTGCGTGATCAGTGGTAATTTGAATATAATAACGGACACATGTTCTCCATCTGATGTAGAATTGTGGATATATCCAGCTTGTAATGAGCCAGAAAATTTTAAGCCAATGATATGTTGTAACACTTGTGATCTATGGCATCACTAGGACTGTGTGGCAATAGATACTGAACCCCCTGGAGTGGAACCAAATATGTCAGTCAGAATTAACAATGGTTTTTATCCCTAGACTGTATTCACCATTTCCTGTTTGATGCATTTCTCTTAAAACATTAAAAAAAAACAAAAAAAACAAATAACAATTTATAAGTTAAATTTAAGTTGGGAAAGTATAAGAATTTATGGTAAATTTGTAGATAATGCCTCAGTGACCAATTTAAAAAAACAAAAAAAAAAAAATTATCATTCCTGGTGTAAAAAAGCCTGATTATTCCAAAGGTAGCATTAAAAATTGAGGAAAATCTACCGTTTAGGAGATATTGACAATTTTAGTTGGATCCCAGGATTTTTATTAAAAAAATGCATTTTTCCTGGTATAAAAAAAAGCTTAGCAATAAAATTGCAAAAGGCTAAACAGGGAGGGTATAATTGTTAAATTATTACACTACAAAGAATTACAAGGCACAATCCACAGCTTGTAAGGCAACAAGTTGCAACACCCTGAAGAAGACTAAGAAAAAGTAAGGTTGCAATTTTCCTCTTCTTTATAGCACTGGTGACCTGTCTTGTTTGGTTTGTTTTCTTTTGTGGCATATCAACATCTCAATGGGTTATTTAATGCTGACAAAATCTTTTATTGCTGGTAATATTTTTTCCAAAAATGTATTGCTTCTAATTGTTTTTTCTTCAAAAAAGTATTGGGAGTTAACTATTTATCCATAGCGGGGGCCCTAACAGGTGCTACCAACCTGAGTCAGTGAGGACCTGGGAACAACAGCAATTAAGAGGTGGCTCCACGCTTCTCAAAAACTCCTGATCAGCAGCCTTGCTGTTGGATGTAGTTTATCGTCATACCCAGGACGACCCTGTCTTGTAAGTCTAGTTTATTTATTTATTTTTTTTTTCTGTTACCAGTGGTAATTTGAATATTGCCACATCAGCTTTACCAATTGCTTTGCTCAAGGTGCTTTGTGTCCAGCCTTCATTTAATTTATCAGTCATCACTTGGTTGACAATATATAATCAACTGGCTGATTTTCAAAAGGAGTAGGAAGGGAGGAAAGGGGGTAGAGGGGTTAAGCAGCCTTGATCCTAGATCATGATTATAAAATAAATTGGAAAATTAAAACAAGTATTCTCCAAGATATACAATAATCCGAGAAGAAAATGTATAAATGTTTTCTTGGTCTATAATTCGCAAATGTTTTTATAAATTTTTGAACGTGATAACAATATATATTTTTATATATCAAGAACAATATTAGGAAAAATATGTATGACAAAGTGGAAAAAGTTTATTGTATATTGAGCACTTTTGAAATTTCCGCACAGTTCACAAAATACACAATTCATTATAAAACACTACAAAATAGACAATTCACAAAATAGAATGTGTTGGGCGGATAATAAAATTATAAAAGATCAAAAGAAATTCATGCATAATGCACTATGCTAGTTTTGATCTTACGGTCCCATCAGGATAGTTACTTTTGTGTAGTTAATCTGTAGTACTAATTAAGCCCACTTAGTCAATCGATATAAGCAGGCTTAATTAGTACTATGGATTAACCATTCACAAGTAACTATCCTGATGAGGCCGTAAGGTTGAAACCTGGGTAATGCGTTATGTGTGAATTTCTTCTAATTTTTTAATTTTATATATATATATATATATATATATATATATATATATATATGTGTGTGTGTGTGTGTATATATGAAATGGACAAAAGTTCAACAATTATTTTAAGACATTTTTATGTTTATAAATTCTTTTTATAGATAAAATATTTAAGTAAATGCTCTGTTTATAATAAACAGTATTAACAAAATTTACCGTCCTGAATGTCGAGAAATTTTCATAGAAAATATTAATAGCAAGGTCGATTTAACTGTTTTTAAACTATTTCTTCCATGATTTTCTCACAGATTCATATCTACTTTGGAAAGCGTATCCAAATGTAAACAAATGACGTCACATTTAACTAAATGATTTCTATATATAAAAAGGTTCAAATAAAGAAAAAAATTTTAAATATAATTATGGGATATATATATAAATATATATTTATATATATATATATATATATATATTACTTAAATATTTGATTTTAAAAATAACGGATATAAAATTAAAATTGTGAAAATATATAGTTATATATATATAAATAGTGACATAGAAATATTTACAGTTGGTTTCCATTTTTTTGTCAAAAACTAACTAAACACAAAGAAATACCATTTTCGTCGAGTTGATTTCATTTGATCTTTGGCTTTTTCAATGTCACTCTGACTTGTTACATCAAGCTGGAAAATTTCCAAGCTGGAAAAGATAAATAAATATTAATTATTAGAGTAATTTATAAACTATTATGAAATATTCAATAACAAAATCTATAAATACCATAATACCTAGCTACTTACCTAAGGTGCATACATCAAACACCAAATGAACAATATACTGACAATGTATTTTTTTTTTTCATGCAAGATTTGTGCTTCTGTTTCTCACAGGTGCAGAACTTTTTCTGATATGTAATATTCAATACCTGGAATATCCATTGGCATGTGATGTTCATTTTTTTTTTTTTTTTTTTAAAGCGCACTTTTGGGAGCAAGGCGGGAAGCCACTAGCTTTCTTAAGGTTACAGAAAATTTGGAGCAAGATCAGATAGGAGTGATAGAAGAAAGGATGAGGAGAAGGGTAGTGGATAGATCAAGGCAACTGGAGATGTAAACTCAATTCATTTTCTTTTATTAAAAATAGCATTTTCCACTACAAAATTGTCATTCTAAAGATTTCAGTTGCATACAAATGCATTGAGTTTAATTTTAAGTCTCTTACGTCTATAACTTAGATGTGGCACAAGGCCGAAATTAGGAGGCACCCAGTGAGGATCGAACTCACTACTCAGCCATAACTGTTCTAGCGAGCCAAGCTTGTTTAACCATTACACCGCCTCGAGGTGCCCCTCTTACATCTATATATACTGTTCTTTAAATTTTGTGATGTTTCACCAATCTATTTTGAAGGGCAATGGATATATTTTGTTTGGTAGATTCCTGCTTCTGATCTAAAGTTAACTGTCTGCTTAACATTGATTAAATTTTAAACTATTATTGAAGTGTGTGTGATAATTGTTATGATTATTTCAACCATTATGATTACCTAATATTTGAAATAGATGCCTCATTTATATTAATTATACTGCATATTCCAGAAATCTTAGCAAAGAAAATGGATTCCCTCAGCAGGAAACAAACCTGTGTCTTCCTTTGTAAGAGAACCAGTGTTTACTTTATCACAATCAACATAAAAGTCAGCAAGGTTGTATTTTCTTTTTTTTAAAGAAAGCACATCCCTTTTAACTCCGATTATTTTCTTGAAAGCTCCATATTTTCTCAGTTTTGCTTCCGAAGAATAAACAAAGTAATTTCAAAAGAATTAATGGATTTATTTTTAATCCAACATTTTTATTACTTCAAACTTTATCGTAACGGATACTCATATTTGAAATAGATGCCTCATTTTTATTTATTAATTTCAAAAAGTGTATCCACTATAATATCAAAATTAATAAAAAATGACGAATTAAAATTAAAACAATTATCTAAAAATTGATAATTTTTATATTGAGATAAGCTAAATTTTACAAAATTCATTAGTTATAAAATTTGTATGTAACAGAATGGTAATCTTTAACTTTCATGCCTAAAAAAAAAAACTAAAAAAAAAACAACAACAGTGTGTCAAAAGGATGTTTTTCCCTTGACACCACTATTATTTTAACTACCTTCACTCCTTGGCAATGTTTATCATTTTAAAAGTGATGATTAGAATTTCAATAAAAAATAAAAGTGAATTTTCTTTGAAACGTTATAATAAATATGGTGACAAAGATGAGGACAATAGTCCGAATAATGTAAATAATGAATTTTCTTTGTCCTTGAGAATTTACAGCAAAAATAATAAACAATATTTATTTATTATATTTTATCGGGATGGTTGGCAAAACATTGGCTGACAGCCAATTGATTCAAACTTTATAAAATGGTAAATAATAAGGGTTTTAATGTAGTTTTTATAAATTGTTTTCATATTT